ATATATATACACATACAGTTATGTAAACTAGTATGTAATCCCTTCATTATGTCTAGCCCTATTTTGAAATAACTACTATCAAAATTTTGGCATGTATTCTTCTAGATCTTTAAATTTAAAAATATCCTATTTAGTGTACAGGGTGTCCCCAAAAGTCACCCCTAAAGTCATCATACAAAATGGGAAAATGGGAAGTTGTGTAGCTAAGTGTGCCTTTACTTACAAAATATTATTCATTATAAAATTTTACCAAGAGGTGGCCAACATGCAGAGAATATTTTGTAAATATTTTGTAAAATAATTTAGCTATTGAAATGTGTGGTCACGTGTTCCTCTAGTCCCAGCTTCTTGGCAGGCTGAGGCACGAGGATAATCTGAGTCCAGGTGTGTGAGGTCACAGTGAGCTATAATGAGGGCCCTGTACTCTAGCCCAGAAGGCTGAGCCAAGACCCTGTCTCAAAATGAAAAAAATTGCCTTAGTTTATGTTGTGTTTTACATAAGAAAAATGTCAATCTTGAATTTTATGGTTAGATTGATATTCATATGTGGCCTGAAATTATATCTTCATTTTTCTAAATGGTTGTATTAGATAGCAATACTTTCAGCTTCATGTTATAGTTTCCCTAAATACTAGAGTTCAGTCACTAATGAGCTCACCTAAGAATTTTGAAGAAATGTAGTCCAGGACAGGCAAAACAACTCCAACTCCTTTCTACCAGCAAGAGCTCATGTTCCTTCCATGTTTTTGAGTTTCCATCCTTGAAGTATTGGCTTGTTTATTCATTGTCACAGATCCGTACTATATTTTCAGATATCAGATAGATCATGTTTCCAGTAACAAGAAATGGGCAGAAAAATAGATCTTCCCTTCTATATATTTTTTATTTTTATTTATTTATTTATTTTTGAGACAGAGTCTCACGATGTTGCCTTTGGCTGAGTGCTGTGGTGTCATAGCTCACAGCAACCCCCAACTCCTGGGCTCAAGTGATCCTCTTGTCTCAACCTCCCAAGTAGCTGGGACTACAGGTGGTGGCCATGATGCCTGGCTATTTTTAGAGATGGGGCTTCTCACTCTTGCTCAGGCTGGTCTTGAACCCCTGACCTCAAGCAAGCCACCTACCTCAACTTTCCAGAGTGCTAGGATTAGAGGTCTGAGATCTTCCCTTCTTTACAGAAAAGTAAATACTTTCCTGGAAGAACAGATAGACTTACGGTTATGTTTTATTGATAACATCTGGTTTACAAGGATGCAATGGATACAATGAAGCTGAGAGAGCAACAGATCTAGGCCTGGAAAGTACCCCATATCCTGGCTTTCATCCTTTTAAATGTACATTTAGAAACATTTTATCTGGCTTCTGAATGATTGTATATTTGTGATTCTGCTATAAAAAATAGGAAATTTTATTTTTTCATATCCTTTTTCCCTCTTTCTTTATCTTACTTTTCATTTACACACACACACACAGCTTCTGTAGTTGATAGTAGCAAAAGGTAGTTTGGAAACGTGTTAACCAAACACCAGTGGCTCCATATTGGCTAATATTTTCCTTAGTGGAGTTTATTTAATGATTATTCACTGAATAAATAGTCATTTATTCATTTCTTTCTTTGAATACGCCTTGTTAACATAAATTACTTTTCCATATAGTATAAGGCTCATTGCCTTTCTGGACTGTATATGCCAGAGTTTGAGTGTTTTTAAAAAATATTTCTACTAAGTAACAAATTGTCTTAGTTCCTTCAGTTCTCCTATACATGTTCTGAGAAGTTATGAGAGCCAGTATTGCACCTGTGGTTCTAGAACTTGGTTGCCAAGAATCAGGAGGTGCATATTTATGATTGCTTGTCTATTTCTGTCAAATTCATTTTGCAGACAGGTGTCTCTCTTGTTATACCAGAATGACCCAGCTCATTAAGGCTATCTGACTAACTGGAATTCAGGAAAAACCCCAAGGAAGAATTTTTCCACAGGAAACATCTCAGTATTATTCCGGATTTGATCACAATCCAAGGTTTTATCAGCGTTAGACAAGAGAATACTTGTATATCTTCACAATTCCTCCGCAGTACGGAAAAGTTAGCATATGCTTGTGAAAGTATAAACTACAAATTTAAATTACTTTATTTATTTATTTTTTACTTTTTTTTTTTTTTGAGACAGAGCCTCAACTGTCCTCCTGGGTAGAGTGCTGTGGCATCACAGCTCACAGCAAACTCCAACTCCTGGGCTCAAGGGAGTCTCTTGCCTCAGCCTCCCAAGTGGCTGGGACTACAGGCGCCCGCCACAACGCCTGGCTATTTTTTGGTTGCAGCTGTCATTGTTGTTTGGTGGGCCGGGCTGGGGATTCGAACCCACTACCTTAGGTGTATGTGGCTGGCGCCTTAGCCACTTGAGCCACAGGTGCCGAGCCTAAACTACTTTAGAATAGAGCTATATCCTGGTGCAATTCTATTAAACATTTATCTATAAATAGTTAATATGACTTTTAGATGATTTGCATGCTTGTGCTTCTGCTGTAGCAAATTAGAAATTAAATCTTTTCCATTATTCTCTCTTCCCAAGGCCTAGCTTTCATCTCTCTGTTTTACGCACACAAACCCACACACACACATAAACCTCATATGTAATTGGTTTTGCTTTTTATAAGAAGTGAATCTTGGTTCCGCAGACTTAGGCAAAGTAACTTGCTTTTCATTTACCTACTTCTATTATGGATTTTTTTTTTTTTTATTGTTGGGGATTCACTGAGGGTACAAGAAACCAGGTTACACTGCCTTTGTTAGGTAAAATCCCTCTGACAATTGTGTCTTGCCCCCCAAAGGTGTGTCACACACCGAGGTATTATATTTTATATCCCATCTATCTGTGTATTTTGAATTATTTATATAATAATCTCATTTTTAAAAAGAATTCTATTTTATGTGTGAACCTTAATCTCATTTTTAAAAAGAATTCTGTTTTATGTGTGAACCTTAATTTATTATTGATCCATTGACCATTGTTGAACATTTTATATATTATGTACAGTCCTTTAAAATATACTCTGGAAAATTAAAAAAAAATTGTGTACATAAAGTAGAAGGAAATCATTTAATTTTTCTACTTCTCATTTTCTAAGACTTCTGTATATGGAGGTCGTATCTGGCTGTCTGCAACCTTGTGTATAATTGAATCAATCCTTCCATTTTCTTGTGAGGTCCAACTCAAGTCATTCATATGTGCCCAAGTGCTTTGAAATACTGTAAAGAATCCTAAAAATATAAAATTATGTCACTATTATTACTGTTCTTTTGCAGTTAGTCAGCCCAGTTGAAACAGGTTATAGAGAATAGACTAGGGATTTGCATAGGTATCCCAGAGGGATGTTACTGTACTATAAAGAGCTCAGGCTAATAGAAAGTGTATACGGTAATAGAAAGTAAACCATGGGGTGGTGCCTGTGGCTCAAAAGGGTAGGGCGCTGGCTCCATATGCTGGAGGTAGTGGGTTCAAACCCAGCCCTGGCCAAAAACTATACAAATAAATAAATAAATAAATAAATCCAACAACAACAACAAAAAAAAGAAAGTAAACCAGAGACTGATTACTGAACATTTTTTTTCAATGCCAAATTTGGGATTGAGACTTAAAAATACAATCTATACTATTTTGTCATCATTAAATAGAAAGATTTTATGATACTGATTGTACGTTAGAATTACTAAGCAGATTTTGCAGAAAAGAATGAAGTAATGCAAGAGACATTCCCAGTTATTTTGATGTAATAGCTCTGGAATGAGACCTAGGCACTGGTAGTTAAAAAAAAAAAAAAAGTCTACTCTTGTGATTTAAACATTCAGCTTGGGTTGAAACTCACCAATATAGGCTAAGTTTGATTTCTCTACTTTTTTCTCTGATCCCTCACCCCAATTCTGGATAGATTGTTTATTATAGTTTTATATTATTAGCATCTAAAGCCTATTTAAAACTGGTGGGGGGCATTTTTATCTTTTTTTTGCAGTTTTTGGCCAGGCCCGGGTTTGAACCTGCTGCCTCTGGCATAGGAGGCTGCCGCCCTACTCTTTTGAGCCACAGGCACCACCTGCATTTTCATTCTTGGTCAGACCTACTCACTCTTGCTTGAGGAACTTGAATCATCAAACGAGAAATAGATTTGTCTCAGCTTTGCCTAAAAATTTCCTTTGAAGGTGATCAGGGTGCTGCATACAAATGATCACAGTGAAGAGATTTATGCATCATTTTAGGTGATTTTAAGTTTTGTGTGACGATTGTTTATTTCCCAAGTGATGAAGACAAAATCGGATTTAGGAAACTACTTTCAATTATGTTCTTTATGGCTGCTTTTATTTAACTTTTTTTTTACTTAAGCCTGTGGTACTCAGTTTCCTTAAAAAAAGTTATATACATTCACTAAATTGATGGAAATTGTATTAATATGTTTATTAAAAATAGTAAATAATCACTAAACTTTTGTGGTGTGGATAATGCATCAATAAAAATAGTCTGTTTCTCAGTTGATTTTAAAAGATCAAATACATACAAAATCAATGTATTTTCTTTTTCAGATTACAGAAAGAAGAAAGGGAATATTCAAGAGAAATTTGTATGTCCATGATTCTGTTGGCATAGCAAGGCAGTGCCGGCCGAGTGTGAGGTGTTGCTGCCATCTGCAGCATGAAAGACTTAGTAAAACTCTGTGCTACCTGTACATAATAGAACTGCATTTTAAATAATTTGCTGGGATATAAAAGTAGGAATTATATAATTTCTCTATTAGTTTATGTATTTTATTTTATTTTATTTGCAGTTTTTGGCCAGGGCTGGGTTTGAACCTGCCACAGGCGGCGCCCTACTCTTTTGAGCCACAGGCGCCACCCTAGTTTATGTATTTTCTACTGCAAGCCTTCAACATACTTAAAAACAGGATATATTTTAAACTGTACAATG